TTAAGAAGGACATTGAATTGTTGGAAAGAGTTTAGAAAAGGGTTACTAGAATGGTGCCTGGGATGGAGAGGTTGGCATACAATGAGAGGCTGAAATCTCTCAAATTGTTTTCTCTTGAAAAAAGAAGAGTTAGGAGGGATCTGATTGAGGCGTTTAAGATTGTAGAGGGAATTGATAGTGTTGATGTATCATCTTTTTTTATATTTAACAATGAGAATAGTAGGACTAGGGGACACAAATATAAATTTTAGCAAGGTAGGAGTCATCTTCAGCTAAGGCTGTTTAATTTTTCTAACAGGATAGTTGGCCTTTGGAATGGGTTGCCTTCAGATGTTGTAGAGGCAGTAAATTTAAGTGAGTTTCAGAAAAAGCTTGATAAGTATATGAATGAAAAGGGCTGGGTTTAAATCTTTTTTTTAATCATTTTAATTTAGTTTTGAGGATGGAACAGCTGACATGGACCAATAGGTCCCATGTTTTCCCAAAATATTATGTAATGTTAGAATGATCATCCTCCCTTTGCAACCATTTGATGTCATTTCTCTCTACTACTGGTGTGCCACCTAAACACCACTTGGGAAATAGGATATGATGACCAGGGAATACACAACTCACTGAAATAGACAGTGTAACATGTACAAAAATTGTGAAACTTTGGGCTCCTTTGCCAAGAACCAAGAGAATTACAAAACCCAACCCCACAGGAAGAATCTTGTAGGAGCACAATTACACATGACAGTTTTCAAGATCTTCATATAGAAAGCTAGAAAAATTGCTCCAACTGATTCTACAAGAGGTTGCATCATTCTATGATATGGTGACAAGCACAGCACCCAATTGAGGTCCATCCCTATCCTTGTTCATCACATCCCTTGAGTGCCACAAAAAAAAGAGAAGAAAGTTGAGAATGCTGAAAAATATTAGGGACTACAAAAGGTGACAATTCATTCTATAAGCAAGTAAGAACTTGCCAAAGAAAACACTTATCAAATAACACTGGCACAAAGACAAATGTGGAAACAAATTATAATGTTGGCACATTGAAACACCA